TGGTCAATCACAGATTTGCAAGAGAAATATTACATTAAATTGTTAGAGGTCCCGCTCTAAGGGAGACAGCAGGAGCCCGTCCTCTGTCCTTAACCACTTTCTTTCCTATCCTGCAGGTGTCATGGTTTAAACATTTTAATCAGAATTTCAATCATGGATTTTTTTGTGCAGATTATACTGGGATTTGGTAATGGTTTATTTCAACCAACTACACTTTTTAAATGTATTTTGATCTTTGGCTTGCCTCTCAAAAAAGGGGAGTAACCTCTTCTGCCTCTGATGTAGTCAATGCCCTGTTTAAGGATTTGTTTGTTCATCCATTATAATCAGCATGCATACTATATAACTGTACAATTATTTGAAGACATGTAATTGTGTTTTTTCTTTTATGGTTTGAGAAATGTAATGTCTTATTTATGGAGTTTTCTATATTATACATCTTCAATAAAGTCTTTATATATCATACATGCTCTCCGGAAACTTGAATATCACTTTAATATTGAAATCTTCTGAGGAAATAAAATGTAGTTAGTTGTTTGCTTCAATCAATTCATTTCCCAAGTTGCTGCGGGACTAACCATCGTCTACAGATGGATGTAAGGGAGCACATCTAAAGTAGCAACCAGAGCACCTCAGCTGACTGACAATCATTTTCTTTTATATTATATCGGACTAATAAATTAAAAGTTACATTTCTGCTATGGTTTTGTTTACATTTGGTGGTTTTAGCTCCACTGGTGAAGTGGCTCAGTGGATGTAAAATAATCCTAATGACTTAGTGATCCACTGACTTTTTTTCTAGCGTGACATTTGTGGTTTCGATTGAAATGTCTCAAACTATTGGAAATTTGGTTTCGACATCCATCCATGTCCTTCTCAGGGTGTGTTGTGATAGACTTATCCTCTAGCACCATCATCAGGTCAAAACTTTTGTCTAATACTTTGGTTAACGATCAAACATCTTCAAACTGTCCTAGCCTTCATCCTCATCTGTACGTTGCTGGAAGTGTTATTTTGCAAATGTTAGCAGGCTAACACAAAACAATAAGATGGTGAACATTGGAAACGTTATTTCTGCTAAACATCAGCATCGTCATTGTGATCACCTTGTTTCTTAATTACAACAAAAGAAGAATTCTGAATTTGCTACAGCTCCGTTTTGTGCCGCTCACTTGCTTCTTCAACAGCCAAGACTTGTGTCACATATCGGGGTGACTATGGATCAGGGTCTATCTGGTTGTAGCTTTAATCCAGTGACGCTTTGACTACTAGTTTGTGGCCTGGTTTTGTGGTTTATCGCAAAAGCTGAAAAGCAGAATGCAGATCATGCAAAATAACAGTCAGGTACATCTTGAATGTCCCCCCCAATAACCGGAGGACTAGTCCACGAGAGAGCAGGGAGAGGACCGCATTGGTGTCATTGCTAACCAACGCGGTTCATTGCAACAATTCAACAAATTTAAGAAAAAAATGAAGTACCTAAAGTTGACATTTAATGCCTGGATAGATTCTTAGTATTGTTTACTTATTCTTGAATATTTTCCTGATTTAAATGCTATTTTGGCTACTTTTAGGTTGCATTTGTATTAAGGCAAAGCTCTGTTTTTTTTTTGTGAAGACAAAATTAAAGATTCACCAAAATAAAGAAAAAGCTTAATTCAGTACGTGCTGATTAATTACTTTGCAAAAATCTAATAACGCATTGTAACCATTGTCGATTCATCCATTTTGTTAAGTTAAGTCTGAACTCCAGGGGTATTCACCACCATTCTTCTTTTGTCACAAAAACAGACAAAATGTTCAAATATTTCTTGCAGTGCATAGCCATTTATTAACGCGGACAATGTTTGAGAGCATGGACGAAGCTGTACAAGAACCACAGCAGCAACGGTAGCCCCGGCAAATGAAAACAAGTTGCATTTCAAAAGATCAGTGAAACTAAAAGAACAGAAATAATCTGCCAGTTACTTTTTACATTTTTAGTTAAGAGATTACAAGAAGAGAGGCATTTCAGACTTTGAATCGCTAGTTCAATATCAGCACTTGGTCCTTATTACGCCAATAGGATTTAGGGAATTTGAGCTAGAGTGAAGTTAAGCATTTTTTGTACTTTTCTTCCATGCAGCCAGTGGTTTCCATTTTGTCTGCAGTATCTAACTATGAAGTGAGGAAACTATGTCTGTCTGCGTATTCTTTGCCGAACTGTTTATCCGATCTACTTCATACTTGGCGGGTGTATTGCTGGGGACACAAGGACGTGCAGTGTCGACATTAGCGCAATTTGGACAAGCGACACTTCAACATAAATAAACCTTGAATAAACAAACACACACGCGCTGCTCTGTAGAGCAGCGGGGGCGGAGTTTCAGGGCATGTCTGCTGCGGCAGACAGTACTAGTAGTACTAGTTCAAAATCAATTTGCAGACTCCTGATACCTGGTACAGGTGTGTAATCCATCCATCACAGTGAGCATCAAGTCTGGATATTTGTGTTTAAGCTTCAGAATATTTTTGTGGTAAAGTTGCTTAAATTCACATTTGGGTTAAAATATCTTGTTACTGTAATTTAAATTTAACAGAATTTATTGCAGACTTGATGTTGACTGTGATGGATTCAACTTCTTTAGAAAGTTACAAGAGTTTCCTAATTATTTTCCAGACTGCACAGAAATGAATGGAAACCAATGAGTGTCGGGAAAGAAGGTAAAATATATCCAAAAAGTCTGAAACATAACAGAATGTTTTTTTAAATGGATATCTGTAAAGTAGACAGTATTTCTAGCAACAAAGGGGGGGATGATCTTTTAAAACAGTTTGTGCACTGGGACATTAGAGCCCGAATGATTTCGGATTTTTGAAGCCAATACAGATAATTTTAACATAAATTTGAGCTGAAAGTCGCTTAATCGATTTGTAGATTGACAGAAAAATGATATATAACTATATTTGTAAATCAATTCATCATTACAGTGAGCTGGACATTTTGCTCTCTGCTGGACAAACTATGTAATGACAACACTGTTTCTAAATCACCTCAATCACATCTTTGGCATTTCTGGACTGCTGGAAGTTAGCTGACATTGACTCACATGACACTATTATATCTGTGATGTGTTAAAGATCCACTCACGTATCAGTTGGGCTGTAGTTTACATGACAGACGCGTGTGTATAAGCTGTGAGATTGAGCTGGTTTGACTGATTTAAGACTATAAAGACAGAGGAGGCCACAGACGACTGAGCTCTACATTCATACAGCCTTCACTGCACATGCTCAGACTGCCACATCCAACACTGGCTTATGCACAACCCTGACTGGCAGTTAACATGTGACTCGACACTCCAGTGCAGCACAGACAGGGCCACCTGACATCTCTCAAATACAACCCACGCTCCATGTAATGCACCAAAACACAAACCTGGTCAAAGTGCAAAACATGTTTGATGGGGAGAAATTTAAGACGATGAGTGTTTTTTAAAAACAGCCTGTAGTACAAAGAGGGTACAAGCGACAACAATTCCATAGGAATTTAAGAAGATTTTAACACATCCGTCCACCCCCCTTTGTCTATCTGTACAGACGTTCCACCTCCCAGCACCAGAAACAGGGTGAGGGGATGCAGGGTTGCCCATCTTAATGATATTCATGATTTCAGCATTATTTTAAAAAAAAATCCCAGGTGGGAGTGGAAAACCTGCAGCTCTGGAAGTTGATGGCGGCAGAGGACAGTTTAGTTCTTGGTCGCTTGTGTAGATTCAAGAAACTCCTTTGCTGCAGACGACAGATTTTGCACCAGCTGTCTGATCACGCCCTCCTGCTCTTTGGCCCAGGATAAGCCGTCGTCCACTGCGATGTTGACGGGCACACACGCAGCTTCCTTCTGCAGGTCGGTCAGCCTGCAGGCGGCGGCGACTCCTGCCAATCCCAGTAGCAGCAGGAGGAGGAGCTTGAACATCAGGCCAACGAGCGAACGTTGAGGTTTAGGCTTTTCCACAGAAGCCTTTTTATCTGCGGAGATAAAGCGAGAGTGGGTGATGTTAGAACAACTCCTAAAACACTAAAAACAAATCTCTTAAAGAAATGTACCCGAGCTTTTTCCACCACCAAAGAATCACAACCAAGTTGGTGTCGTTTCACAATGCATCTTACAAAATCCATCTTCGCTTGCCGTTTGTTTTCTAAGTTTGTTTTGTCAACATCATAGTTCATGAATGTGATGCTTTATTGGCAACTGATGGTCAAATGGCAGATGTTGATTCATGCTGACTGTCATGAATTAGTTGTCAGTGGAGGTTGAACTTGGTAAGAGACAGACATGAAATATCCCTTTAAACGGTGCATCATTCAGACCTTTAGACTCACCTGCTGCCTGTCCGTTCTTTTTCTTCTTCTCCTCGCTCTTCTTCTTCTGCTGTTCCCGCGCAGCGACGGCCGCCATCTGAGCGTTGTACTCTTTCCTCCTCTTCTCCTTCTCCTCTGCCTTCTCCCGCTTACGAGCCTCCTTCTCTTTGGCCTCCCGCTCCCTCTGCTTCACCTCCCTCTTCCTCCCCAGCTCTGATGGAGGGATGCATTTAGAAGAGATGCAGTCAGACATTAATATAACTCTATTTCTGGTTTCCTGCCATCAATAAAATGCACTTCATCTACAGCAGATGAAACTCCCATGAGACTACAGAAGCACAATCATTACTGAGAGCCAGAGAAATATAATTAACATACTAGTCTGAGTCAATATTGTTTTCTGTATCTACATAACTTTGTATAGCAGAGCTGTGTTTTCTTCTTCTTTCTCAAGACCCCTTCAGGTTGGGAGCCGCTGGACTAAATGAACTAACTGTACATGAAGTACTTCAAACTAGCTTCATCTTGACCTGCTACATGAATGAACTGCTGCTTACATGTCAATGCAAGAGCACTTATAATCTAATGTCATATACAAATCTGACCAGACATTCGAGGCTAGTTTTCAATAATGTGCCAGAAAAATAGTTGTGGTTTGATATCTAGCACTTTTGATTCTGACCTTTTTCCCTCAAAAGGCGTTTCTCTCGTACACGATCGACCTCGACCTGAAGACCTCTCATGTGCTGCAGAACCTGGAACAAAATCTCCGTTCGTCATTCTTCTCTTTCTCAATTCAATTGTTTAATTCAAAAGGGGGCTTCATTAGCATGAAAGTTTCAAGAGCAATGTTGCCAAAGCAACACCTGCCTCACCTGGGTGGCACACTGTTTGCACTGCTTCTCATCCAGACAGTCTCCTGCTGCCTTGGCCAGGACGGCCTCCAGCGGGTTGTCCTTCAGATCCAACCACTTCAGACTCTGAGAGCAAACAACATTGGAATCAATTCGAGCCGGGCAATAATTCAATGTGATAATGTATCATCTCTTAATGGGATCACATTGTGATGAAATCATACATTGAGATATCGTGATACACGTTTAAATTGTCAAAATTTATAACAAGCACATACTAACTCAAATTACTCAGAAAATCGGATTTTGGACTAAAGTTCTTAATTCAATGAGAAAATACAATTGAATAAAGTTTAATACTGCACAAAAATACGTGTTAGAAGGACTATCTACTAGATCAGCTTCATTGTCTAACTGAAGAATAAACGCCTAATAGCAGCTGCACAGCATCGGTCTTGATGTTACAGGATCAGCAAATATAACTGTAACATGAGCAGACGGCAGCACCCACCCTGAGATGAGAGAAGCTGACAGGCAGGACACTCAGCTTGTTGTTGTACAGGTCCAGATGTTGAAGGCTGGCCAGGTTCCCCAGGTCATCCGGCAGACAGGTCAGCTGGTTTTTACTCAGATCCACCTTCACCAGGTGGGTCAGGTTGCAGAACTCTGGCTACAAGAAGGAAACCGAGCCAAAAAAACAAACAAGAGCTCAAGTCCTGCGTTAGTGACAACGTTGGCAAATCTAAAAAGGTAAAGTTTAAGGTTAGCAGGCTTGCTTCATTTAGAATAAAACACATTAATTTACCGTTATTAATGAAGAACATTTTAATTTTGACATAATTAAGACCATCTTTGAGAAGCTGTTTCCACTGCTTTATATTCAACATAATGTAAAAGCCAGAAAGAAAAGAACTTGAATTTAAAAACGGCCTCCGTCTCAAAATCCCTTATTTTTCAGATTACAAGTGCATAAAACAAGAAGTAGTCATTGCATAATTTAAATGTATCGCTTAACTTCAACCGCCATCATGATTTAGCACAATCATTGATAAACCCACAAGACAACTGATGTATTAAGTACGTTTAACTTCCAATCTAGGGTCCATAGCAGGGGCGCCGTTAGGCCTATTTTAGGGGGGCTGAAGCCCCCCTAAAATGTTCTTCAGCCCCCCCAAATAATTTGGCATTATTGGCTTTAAAAAAAAAAAATAAAAATTTTATTTTGGTGATGTCATTAAATTAAACTATTGTTTCTCACATGGACACGTTATTTATAACTCTAACATGCTACATATGTGCGTGCGTTCTAGTTTGTATGTTTTCTCCCCCTTCAAATTACAATCCAATAGCCTATCATCATACTTAACGATGTAAAGTTGACAGTCAGGTCCATTCTCCATCCATTGTGTGCGGTCCCTTTAAGAATTAGGATTTGGGAGTGACGCGGATATTCTTTATTTGAGAAAAGTTCATATTTGCGTTGACAAATTTCACTATGACCCTGAAATTCTGTCTCTTGTGTTATCATATACTGAATGCAAGCAAAACTACAGAGCAAAATCACACTCTTTCTGATTGAACCAATCTATGAACTGTCTGAAACAATGGATGTCCGCAGCCCCAAATGGGCCCCAAAAAAAATTTCTTTGAATCCTAGAAACGCCCCTGGTCCATAGGATCACCAGTTACAAAATAATTTAAAGGGATAAGAAAGGATTCAATGTCCTGTGTTCTCTTGACTTCTGTCTGGATACATTTACCTCTTCAGGCCTCTAAAGATCCTTAAAACTAAACAATCAGAGGATGTATTGTCACTCTATGGAGGAACTGCCCACAACTCATTCCCACACTGAAAACATGTACAAAATAATACACATTAATGTGTGTGAAGGGGTCACGAGCCGAACAGGTTTGGTACCAATAGATTTGAGTGATAAAATGTTCTATTTTAGTGCAGAATATTTGTACTTACAGGAAGGGAGGTGATGTTGTTGCAGGACAAGTCCACGACAGTTGCTTTGGTGAATAACGCCTGTTATAAGTCATAGCATGGGTCACTTTAGTTGTAGCAGTAAATGTACATTTAAAAACATGCAGCCACATCATGGCCAGCCTTGTGTTTGAAGTGAAAGCACATGCATGTGATGGCATGAATGTTTAATTCAGATTTGCACGCACAAACTGAGACACAGAGGCGATGAGTAACTCACCAGCTCTCTGACTGGCACCTCGGTGAGGTTACTCAGGCTCAGGTCCACTTCATTACCGCTGATTTTATCCTTCAGGTTCAACACTTTGCTGTTTTTACTCATCCTGGTGTCTGAGGTAAAGTCTGTAAGCAGAGAGGAAACATACTGTGGATTTATTGTGGCAAATAAACACCGACACGAAGGCATTTTGAACACATTGTAGCAGTTCGTACTGCAGATACTTCTGACGAGCAAAGAGCAGGAAACCCCCTCTAACGTTAACGTTTTACAGGATTTGCTCACCTGTTACGAAACTGTGTTGAAGTGTGACGGACGAAGGAAATAAAATGAGTGGTCCCAACTTCGTAATGTGAAGAAAGTTAGCGGAAAAGCTCTGAGACGTTGGTAAGTACGTGTTTCTTTTTCTTTTTTGGGCAGCACTGACTGCCTCAATGAAAATCCACGTCACTGATTGAAGCGACAGCGCGGAGCCATTGGAGCGAACAGCGCCACCTGCAGACCCGGAGGACACAGCACAACTACAGGACATGTCCACGGAACAGCACGTAGATATACATGTAAATATACAATGAATGCATTATTTAAAAACACAAAAATAATATGCATGCATGTACATATACACGGCTACATTTATTATTTATTGCATTGTGTATATTTTGGATTTGCGTAGTCTATAAATGCACTGTATTCTCACTTTTTTCTGCTTCTGCACAATAATTTCATGAAGTTTTATTTTACCTCTGTCTTTTATCTTTTAATATCTGATCCATTTTCAGCCACGTCACAGTTTGGCATCTAACCAGGAGTGCAAAAATACATTTAAGTGTCTACAGACAATAAAATATGGAATAGAATAGCATGTTGCATCTAAGGGTTAAGACTACACTAGAGATATACAGTATGGACATAGTAAGCAGGTATATACAAAAATTGCACGAAGAAAAGCAAATATTTGGCCCAAATGTCTTTGATGAATAATTTGCTCATAAACCAACTAAAATTTCAGTATTTGCAATTTCGCTCAATGTTTTGGTTTTCTGGCCTATAACTTTACTGCTTTGGTTTACTGTCACCGCCCTCACATCATACAAAAAGAAGACAGAGTCGTTATTATTTTTTTAAATTTAATTATATTCAACACAAATTTCACAGGTACCCGTTGAGATCGATCATCTCTTTCACAAGGGTGACCTCTCCAAGACAGCAGCAAGAGCCACAAGAAAACATAGATGAAGGAAGTAGACCCACAGCCTTTTAAAACAGCAGTAGAATGACTTCTGTGGCTCTGGAGGACCCACATTGCTCAAATTACCACAAATCTTGAACAGAAAGCCTGCTTCACAAACTGTGGGGCTTGATGGTAAATGGACTGTACTTCTATATCTTCTATACAAGTTCTAGTCTTCCAACAACTCAGAGAGCTTTTTACACTACATGTCATTCACACCCATTCATACAATGGATGGCAGGCCTATAGGCCAAGTCTAAACAGGTATGTCTTGAGCTGATTTTTAAATGAAGTCACAGACTCAGCAAATTGTAGGGGTACCAGAGCATCCACTTTGGTGCTGCTGCCTCAAAAGCTCGGTTACCACGGGTCTTAAGGCGTATGCGTGGGACAGACAGAAAATATCTGAAGATATCTGAGTATGGGGGTGATGTGAGACTGTCTATTTGTCCTAGTGAGTAATTGGAAAACTGGATTACCTGCAAACAGTTAATAGCAGACGTGCGTTACAATAATCAATGCGAGAAGAGATAACATAGAAAAGATGTACGTCCAACCCTTGATGGCATTTTAAACCGTGTTTCTGCTCGACTCGTCTCACATATTGGTTTTTCTCTATTCTTCAAGCTGCCACGTGAAACTGCCATGACATAATCTTCAATGAGACAATCTTTCATAGAGAGGTTACATCGTAACGTTACATCCTCGTACATAACACACGGGCATCATAGCTTCAGAGAGAGACTGTTTTAAGTGTGTACTCTTTCTAATTGCATATTTTCACAGTAATATATAGTTTTATGACAAAATGCAATTTTTTTGATGTGCAAAATTATATTTTAAATTGACAAACATATGTGTAATTCACCCTCTAATATGTCACAAACTGAAGGGGGCTGCTTGGTGGAAATGCAGCTTAAGTTTACTAGAATATTACACTACAACATGTGCTTGATGTGAACCACTGTGTAAAACATGCAAATAGGGCTTACAGTTGCAATACCACTGAATGATTAAAAACTACCCGAACAGGCAAATACACCTTTTATCACGAGCTTTGCTAAGGCGGCAGAACAAGAAACGGATAATTAGGATTCGGTATATCTCGGCCAGATGGGAGTTGAATGTAAGATTTGTGGTGAGTGACACCAAAGTTGAGGGCAGAGACTTTATAATCACCACCGCTTCACCTCCGCATCTGCACTAACTGACCTGCAGCATGACTTGTTGTCAGTCATTAGATGGATTGGCATAATGTTCTGCACTAGTCCAACTGGAAAACATACAATATAAAAACACACTGTCAGCTGTGATATAGAAAATGAAGAAAACTTTGTTGATTGTTTTAGCCACTCTGGTCCAGTAGCCGGGCTTCATTTCTTCCTTCCTGCTGTTGAGGAGCAGAGTCAATGTTTTCACCGCCTCACTCAGCTCATCTGAGATCTTTTCAGAGTCAGAATCCTCCGTCAGTTGGCTGCTGCTACCCTGAAAAATTAGTTAAATAAACTGTGGTTAAACATTGTGAATATTTAAATACGGCTGTTGCATTTGAAATTCACATTTTTGTGTCAGTTCAAATATGAAAACCATCCAGACATGCCATTATAAACCCCAATACAGGTAAGCTCATCGATAATAAGACGCAATTCCAGTGTCATCCATTATAATCATGGAACGTATAAACTTAAAGGGTATTATCATACCTATATGCCAACAAAATCTCATATATAATCGAATGAAAGGTATCATTTGTTCGTTTTCTTATAAAACTCAATGAAACAGAATTCTGCGTGCACTATACTGTTTTTAATAAACAGGTTTGTGAACGACGTCTTCAGTGAGATTCATGCAAACAAGGGAGGAAAAAAACAAACCAGAATGGATAAACATATGAAGTTACTTAATTCGGTCATGAAAAAAGCTGAAACAGTTGTGGGAGCATTTTCCATATTTGTCTTCACAGTCCTCACTCAGGCTTTGGTCTTTACCTACCTCGTTGTCTTGAGATGCAGAGTCTTTTTCCATCAGATACATCACCAAAATCGTCTCCACGAGGCTCAGCATCATCAAAGTAAAACTCCCAATGCAGTAGACCGCTGAAGGGAAAAGGCAGTATCGTTAATGTGAACAAATAACCACATATTGAATCAGTATATGGGCTGTTTATGCTCATAAGAAGGGCAGTCCAATGAAGTATTGATTCAGAGTTTCCTTACCTATAAGAGGAATCCTGTCTGAAGAGGAGGGCAGAATTTCATTGAGAATAAGCTGCATCACAGTGACGGCAAGCAGCACCGTGACCTTGAAGCTGAGCTTCTCGCCCCCAGTGTCTGAGATCAGGAAGGAGGTCAAGTCCAGACACAAGAAGAAGAGGATCGGTACCAAGAAGTTGACAATGTAGAGGGCAGACTGCCTCCTCATGGTGATCTGTGAAATGATGTTCAAGGGTCAGTTGAAGTTTAAAATGTATCAAACGCTAAATCGAGGTGCAGGTATGTAGTACACAACAAGAACAACATCAAGGTATATGATCGGCACGTGGTAGGATGCGGACGATCCGCATATTCTCCTACTTCTGGACCTTTGCCAATCACATACCTGTATAAAGACTCACAAAATTGAAATACATCAGTAAAGTATTTGTACTTACTTAATTGAGACACACAGAGGTGGAAATGCATATTTAATGTATACTTTCCACCTCTTTGTGTGTTTGTATCCAGAGATACTTACAGTGTAAACCAACATGTTTTGTGTGAGGCCAAAATTGTTGACAGTTCTGTTGTTGATGGACATGTCTAGGAACTGCCACTCGGACTGGGTCTGCATCATCTTGCGAGACCAATCGCTGTTCCATGAGCCACCTAAGTTAACAAGCTCTATATCGTTATCTGAGGTGGGAGATAAAAACAAACAAACTGTAAGGTTTCCCTGCAGGTTAACAAAGGATTGTATGGTATGTGTGTTCAGGTGACAATAAACTGTAAAAGTCATTAAAGCACACACATTCAAACTCAAACAAACATGAGTACACATAAATAACGCATACAAATGTATAACACTTTGAACACAACAGGTTAAGGGCTCACCAGAGTGTAAGACAGACTTGAAAGACAGGTTGCAGCTCTGAACGTCGAAGGGAAATTTGTAAACGCGCATCTTGCAGGTGCTGACCACCACCATGTCGTTTCTATTTATGACCCAACCGCTACTGTTAAGGATGAGATACGGACTCGGAAGGGCCTTGTCCTTCTCTGTCCTGTATGAGAACAAACACAAATGCGTTTAACTAAATTTCACATAATGTATTATCTATAATACTATACAACATCATCTAAAAAAATACTTAAAGTGCAATGAACTAAAAACCACCAAACCATAAAACTGCAATATTTCTGGTTTTCAGCCTAAAATCGATTCCATATAGCGGGAGATGGCTCTGGGGTACGTCTACACTTGTTGAGTGAACGGAGAAGCACTGAGAGCTTGCTGCCCTTTGAACACAAAAAATTGGCACTCGGGATTCCCGCACATAGATGTTTTATGAGGACTGAAAACTCAAAAGGCATTTACACTTGTGATCAATGCCTGATCACCTCTGGAGGTGATTTGGCTAATCGGATCACAATCCAAACACCAGACTTCTTTGATAAAAACATAAGTTTTAACTTGCAGAACACAGGAGTTGATGGTCTACCGCTGCCTCAATTAGTTTGTTTGTGTTATTGTGACTTTCAGATCCAAACTAACTTATTACTACATTGCGTTTTTTTATGTGCCGTCACTCCTGCTTCTCCAAACTGTGAGCAGGCCGACCACCATTACTGTAATTAATATACTAACTATGGTTAAGTACCTGATATAAACACGTTAGCTGGGCTAGGGCTTCAAATGTAGCATTCTCATCATGCAGAAACGTATATCAGGTCACATGAGAGAACGTTTTTAGATGGGCTTGGGAAAATAGCGTTTTGACGTGATTTAAATACATAAGATACACTACTGTGAAGCTACAGAATGATACAAAAACATAACAATGAACCCGCCCTTTGAATTACCCAGTGCATATTAATAAGTACAGTTCACAGACAGGAGACCAACAGAAAGTCTAAGAAAAACAAGGTGACAAGACTGATATTCTGAAGAATTTAGTCAAGTATCGTATAATTCATTTTTATTATAAAAATAAAAATGATTGTAAATAAACAAAACGTTTCAGTTTTGTCATTTCTAAACAGTAACATGATGCTCAACCATGAGTTACTGTTGTTATTTGTGTGGATTTGTGAGGGTGAGAGCAAGCACACACTCAAACTTACATCTCTTCAATAGTTAGATCTGGCTTCCACAATAAATGCATAGGAAGAGAAATCCGTGAAATATTACAGAAGTCATCAGGATTCCAGGAAAGGTCGTCACCCTGCCACCACTACGAGAAAAACCAGGGGTGAAATGTGTTTCGATAGGTTGTGGAAATTCAATAAATCAAAAGTACTTTTTACCTCAGAGAGAACTCACCGTATCAATCCAAATGTAACAAACTAATTTCTGGTCCTTCTCGTTCTATGAGTAAAGAAATATTTGTGAAAATCCGTCCAGACAGACAACCTGGAATCTGTCATGAAACTTCACACAAATTTAGTTAAGTTTATCAAGTTACAACAAGTTTGTAAGCATCGGTGTTCTTATGACACAGTTTGGAGTCGGGGTGGGAACCACATAGCAACTCACAATACAATACTATCACAATACTTTGCCCACGATATCGATGATACCACAACATCAGGTATTTCAAATGGTGTGAATCACCCGACCACAAGAGGTCCTTGGGCATACAATCATGAATGAGCACAAAAATACATTGCCGATGAGTCCAGTAATATGCAAAAATAGCCATGGACAGACAGACACAGAGATGCACATGCACACACGCACAAACACAATTTAACACATAATCTCTTCCCAGGCTTACACTTGGCAAACAAACAAAACAAAACCTATAAGATGCACGGACTAGCCGCGAGTGGGCAGCACCATTTTTATGATATCCGGTTGTCCTGTTAGATGATTTTACAATTTTTCTGTTATGTTACAAGCAAACACAAAAATGGAGCCAGTATAACCTCCTTGACAAGAAACGATAATTGTAATTTATAATTCTAAGCAACCACTTACCACATCTAGAATGGCATAGAGCAGTGCATCCAGGTAAACTTGCATGGGAGATTCAGCACTACCAGGCCGGGTCATGGAGTACAGCTCATTATTTTTGGTCACGTTCAGGTGCTTCAACACATCTCGATGCCTGCAGCTACGATTGGACGAGTTCCCATCTGCAGCTAAAACATCATGACACATTCTCCATGAGAGTTTACTCTTAAAAGTTAGGACATGTGATGCTCTTAATTTTTCCTTTAAATTAGAACTTCAGAGTCCCCATGTTTGAGTTATGTTCTCTCAACTATTTGTCATTTAGAAAAAAATGTATTCACTGCCGTTGAATTAATAAAATACATTTGATCATATCCAGCACAAATATATACCAGCCTTCTCTTACGCTGAGTTTTTTGAGGTGCAACAGATGAGTTCTGCATGGTTAACAGTGGGATTGTTTGAAATGATGCCTTTGCCTTGACTTTCAATATGAATCCAGCTCACAAACAGCTGCAGTAATATTTCAGTGATTGTGGTCACGTAATGACCATTATCAGATGGGCGTTGGCCGGCATATGGACGAGCACTACTCAACCACACAATGACTGTGGGCATTTTTACAGTACGCTTAGTCTAAATAGGCTCTCCATCTGAGATCCATATACCACCGAATGCATGTTGATAAAATGATGACCAGTAGCACTCAGAACTGTGTCTGAAAACCATATTCATGTGCAGCAATTTAAAAGTTCTCTCAGAATACCCATACATTCAGTCGCCAGTTGTTTACAGCTAAAGTAAACCCAGTGTAATACAACATCCCTGCAATAAATGCTACTACTGTACCGTGGGAGCGCTACCTGGTGCTTTTGAGTTGTGTTGCATTATACTGAGAATTGTATCTAATATTTTGTCCACCATGTTTCTATCAATGAGAGTAGGCTAGATATTAGAAAACCTCCAATTTTAAGCCCAATACCATTCAACAGGCTCACAAAATGCATCTTATTAAGTTATCCTAAAGTATGAGTCAACATTTCTTTCAAACAGTTTCAACAAAACACAAACATTATACCAAATATCTCACTCAACCTCTAGTGGTATCTAGCCATGTAGATAGATTTGAGTTTAAATATCCAGGTTGAGATATCTGTCTCTGAGGAGGATGGAATCTCTTTAGTGGCGCTCACAGCACACACAGAGATGTCTTTGTTTGTGCGTGTAGCAGAGATACACATGCACACACGCACAAAAATGACTGAACACATAATCTCCTCCCAGGCTTACACTTGGCGGAGATAAACAAAACAAAACCTATAAGATGCTGACAGCACGGACTCGCTGCTATTGAGCGGTGCCTTTTTTAAAATAATATCCTGTTGTCCTGTTATATGATTTTGCGATTTCCTGTGACAGAGAAATGGAGCCAAAATAACCTCCTCGATTGAAAAATGATAATTGTAATTTATAATTATAAGCAACCACCTACCACATATAGAGTAGTGCATCACGGAAAACCTGTGTGGGAGAATCAATGCAACAGGGACGCTGTGAGGAAAAGAGAAACCTTACCAGTATGGACGAGCAGAAAGAGGAAGCCAGCGAGCATCATGAGTGCAGGACCAGTGAGAATAAAATGTCTGTGAGAGGTATGTGCTCTTCAGAAATATTACTCAACGCTTATCTTCACAGGAAGAGGGCTGGGCAAACTGAATGACCAACCCTGTGTTTTATTTATCTCAGTCGTCGAAAGCAGCAGTTCACAACCAGATGTACTCCAGGTTGTGCATCTGCAGATGCAAGAGAGTACGTGGGAATTTGGTGAAGAATAAAATGGGGTGTTTTGATGGCCTACTGGTTTAGGCCTATACTGTACATGTACTGTAATCGCAAAGTCCCTGGTCGATTCCATCAAAGTAGACCCTTTGCAAAGTCCCGCCCCCCACAGCTGCTGTCGGAGCTACGTTAGCATGGAGCCCACACTGTCACTAACTGCACTCCCTGCAAAAATATTTAAAAAAAATATCACATTTTGTAATATCGAAAAAAAACGAATTCAGAGAAAAGCAACGAGAAAGTTTTGAAGGATATATCTAGGATGTCTTTCAGCGTTGCAGGTTCCTGGTTGGGTGGAGCTAGAGGTCAAGGAACTAAAGGCAGCTGGCCGGTGGTCATCGTCTCCAGGGTATTTATGACTTGCTGGCTCCCTCTGCCCTGTCACCACCTCATGCTACTTTGGCATTTTTTAGATTTTCTATATAGTTTATTTAGTATTATCTTAGCCTGGCTGCATGTTTCCCTACCAGTCTTATTTGTTCTGAACAATATTTTTGTTATATCTGTTGGACAAAATTCATCTCAAAATAACTTTCTTTTAGTTAATCCCCTGCATGTGCTTCCCTTATTTACTATTGTTCTACTATTGTCTCAGAGCATAACACTCTCATTCTGTCACTTGCACCGCTCTCATTTTCAGCTGCAGCAGTTCAGCAAAATCACTAAAAACCTGCACTCTACCTGTCTACACCAAACAGCCAAAAGACACAGAAGCAGCTGATGAACATAGCGGAGCATTTAGCAGCTGAAGAGACAGATACTTCCCTCAGGAGTCAGTAGAGACCAAACACTGAGCTAAAATAAGAGTGAATATTGGACATTGACATTTGCAAGGTGGCCCGAAACACAACTCCAAATTAATGATGGTGTTGCTGTTGGATTTGTAAATAAGCAACTGTTTTCACATCTTGTTTCAGCTTCCCCAACGAGTGGCCAAAAAGAAGAAAAGCTGTTATTGCAACACTTGCTCTAGGGAAGTGACTATGCTGAAGATGGAACATAACTACATGGCACATCAAATCACCTGGGGCCATTTCCTTGATGATATCACACAATTGAGTTTCAACTGATAACTTTCAGTGCAGCTGGTAGGTTTACCTTCTTAACATCCAGGGTTCCCACATGGGTTATTGGGGGGACATTAGAGATGTACCTGACTATGTTATTTTGCATGACCTGCATTCGGCTTTTCAGCTTTTGCGATGAACCAAAAAAACCAGGCCACGAAATAGTAGTCAAAGAGTTACTGGATTAAAGCTACAACCAGATAGACCCTGACCCATAGTCACCCCGATGCTGTATATGTGACACAAGTCTTGGCTGTTGAAGAAGCAAGTGAACGGCACAAATCAGAGCTGTAGCAAATTCAGAATTATTTGTCTTTGTTGTAATTAGTAAACAAGGTGATCAGTCTGCAGCCATGTTAGTGTCTCTGTGATGCTGCACTGAGGCAGCTTTGAGCTAAATTCTAATATCAGGATGCTGACATGCTCACAATGACAATGCTGGGATGCTGATGTTTAGCAGAAATAATGTTTCCAATGTTCACCATCTTATTGTTTTACAGATGAGGATGAAGGCTAGAAAAGTTTGAAGATGTTTGATCGTTAACCAAAGTATTAGAGAAATAAAGGTTTTGACCTGATGATGGCGCTAGAGGATAAGTCTATCGTAACTCACCCTGAGAAGGACATTGATGGATGTCGAAACCAAATTTCCAATAGTTTGAGACATTTCAATCGAAACCACAAATGTCACGCTAGAAAACAAGTCTGTGGATCACTAAGTCATTAGGATTATTTTTCATCCACTGAGCCACGTCACCAGTGGAGCTAAAACCACCAAATGTATACAAAACCGTAGCAGAAATGTATAGCTTTGAATGTATTAGCCCGATATAACAATATAATAATAGAAAATGAATGTCAGTCAGCTGAGGTGCTCTGGTTGCTACTTTAGATGTGTTCCCTTACATCCATCTGTAGACGATGGTTAGTCCCGCAGCGGACATCATAGCAACTTGGAAAATGAATTGATTGAAGCAAATAACATTAACTACATTTTATTTCCTCAGAAGAAAACATCAAGATATCAATATTAAAATGATATTCAAGTTGAAAGCATGTATGATACATAAAGACTTTATTGAAGATGTAGATATAGAAAACTCCATAAATAAGACATTACATTTCTCAAACCATAAAAAAAAACACATTTACATGTTTTCAAATAATTAATACATTTGTTATATAGTATGCATGCTGAGTATAATGGATGAACAAACTAAAATCCTTAAATAAATACTAAATAATAATACTAATACTAAAATAAACAGGGCATTGACTACATCAGAGGCAGAAGAGGTTACTCCTCCCCTTTTTTGAGAGGCAAGCCAAAGATCAAAATACATTTTAAAAAAGTAGTTGGTTGAAATAAACCATTACCAAATCCCGGTATAATCCACACAAAAAATCCATTGTTGAAATTCTGATTAAAATGCTTAAACCATGACAGTGACTTGATAGTGAAGAAAGTGGTTAAAGACAGAGGACGGGCTCCTGTTGTCTCCCTTAGAGCGGGACCTCTTCTAACAATTTAATGTAATATTTCTCTTGCAAATCTGTGATTGACCA